CCTTCAGAGATGTATACTTTCCCATTGTAAAACAGTGAAATGCCGTTGAATTGATAAAACTGCTGCAATTCCCACGTAGACTCTAGTACTTAGGCTACGAATACCGTTTGCAAAGTTCCGATCGGTTTGGTGCTTTTCGTTTTCCGTTTTTCTTTTTCTTTCCACGGAATTTCCATTTGCCTGTACGGGAGTCCCACTCGAAATCAATGAGCCACCAAAAGGACTTCTCGGGATTGATCGCACCGCCAGTGGCACGGATTCCCCCAGCCCACAGAGTGGCGGCCTCCTGCACCGATATTAGCCCGCTCAACTTGTTTATCAGTGAAGCCTTTGATATTTTCCCGTACCGTCTGTATGCCACAATAATCGGAACCGGAATAGTCAATTTTTAAAATTCTACCACAGAAAATAACACCACATTTATGGCATTCAGTGTGTGCGACACCAATCGCGTCGCAGTCACAATTTCCGCATTCTCTGTATTCACACTCAGAGTATTCGGATCCCTTATCACTTTCTGCCCTACCATCGGGTACAAAAGTATACAATCCGTTTTGATGCACATATCTCATTTGTTGTTCCCCCTTTGTAACGATGAAGGAGTTTTCAATATCAGTGTCCATAACGACACGGAATCCAAGCTTCACAAGCTCGGATAAACTATCAAGGTTACATTGCGCTTCAGTATCAAGCAAGCAAGTGTGTCCTTTGATAATACTTGATTCGACCTGCTGATGCAGATCACGTTGGCCAGTGTTCGTACCGTAGTTGAACATGTAATCCAGGTCAGACACAGTGCCCGGTTTGGCGTAATCTTCGTTCATTCGTAGGCTGAACGTAGATCCAGAATCAAGATGCACACCAAGATCGATATGCCAGTGCTTACTTCCATTGGACTTGAAAGGTTTCTTGTTGTCTTTGGTCCATTGAGAACAGTGCTTCAATGAATCCATCTTCGAGGTCGACTTGTAGATCTGCATGTTCAAGCTTCCATCGCTGACCATGCTGTCATCGTCCTTGAAAGTACTGGCAGCTTCTAGTTGTGCTTGCCATTTCTTCATTAGCAACTCTCCTCTGTCTTCAGTGGAGACTGCTTTCTTCTTCAGAATCGGTCTTACACGTACTTGTGCAAGGTTCCATTCTGTAATTCTACCATTAGATCGTCCATCAGCAACAGATCTGCCTCGTACCACATAAGAGCCGGGCACATCAGTAGTACCAGAAGTGCCATTTCCACTCCTGTCAACAACAGCTCGTTGCATATTGCTTCGATGTGTTGACCAGTTGTTTGCATTCCCGTAACGCTAGACGCGGCATCCGACTGCGCCGCAGATGCAGCCGCAGGGACTTGGAGATTGGCTCTCCCCGCTCGTCTTGAAGTAGTAGTAGTGGGTGCGTCGCTGTATCGCCCTGGGTCGCTCCATTCCGCTTGTGGGCGCGTCGAGCGTTTGGGACAACGGGTGACCCCATGGCCAGTATCTCCGCAACACCAGCAACTAAAAGCCGGTCGTGAAGATGTCGTTTGAGCATTCGCTTGTGCGTTGCTCACTCCGTCAGGGGCACTGCCGCCTGCAGTGTTTGGTCTTGGAGTATGTCTCGGTGTCGTCGGACCTTTCCCTCGATTGTCCGGCTTATGTTTGATCAGCGCTTTTGCGACCTGATCAATCGTAGTCGGATATTCATTTCTCTGATCGTAGTCCTTGAATTCCATGGCGTAGGTCTGGTTCGCCTTGTCCAACATGCTTTGGAAGCGAGACCTGTCGCAGTTGTAGAAAAATGCACTTGCTTTAAATGTTTCCAGAACTTCTTTCTTGAACGTTTCTTGGAGTGCCTTGGTATCGTCCGGATCGTCCT